TATTTATTTTTTAAAATAGTTTTTTTATGTTTTGCTGCTTCCAATAGCCTTCTTTTTCTTCAAATCCGATTTTGTTTTTTTTTGGTGTCACCTTTGTTTGTTTTTTTTTTAGCTTACTCCTTCTAAACGTTATTTGTCCCGTTTTTATGTCACATTATTTTTTTCTACTTTGTGTTAGAAATATGTTTTTTCATTAATTTTCTTCATTTGCTTAAAGTTATTTTGAAAAAAAAAAAAAAAATGTTAATTCAAGATAATTTATTTGATTGTGAGCGCGCGTGTGCCTTCATATTATGTCTGTGTCGCAATAAAATAGGGGTTTTATAAATATAAACAGGATTTCTATAAAGGGTTAAAATTAAAATAGAAAAAAATTTTATATTTAAGGTTATTCTAAAAAAAAATTATTTAGGTAGGGTTTAAAGAAGGAAGAACATATTTTTCCCAAATTAATTAACAATTTTACCCATTTTTCACAACTTTTCACCATAAGAGACTCTTTATTTTTATTTTCAAATGTATTTAGTCATTATATCTATTAATTTTATTCCAAAATTTATGATTTTAAGGGAGTATAACAGTTGTATAACAGTTTTGCCAAACTGTTATACACTTCAAAATGACCTAAAATACTAGCTTTTGTCAATAGCACTCATTTTTAAATAATTTTCTTCATCTTTTGCAATCATGGAAAACTGTTATACTACATAAAATTTTATTTTTATAGGTTTAATATAATAATTGTATTTATGATTTTTGTAGTTGTTTTAATTATTAGTCATTTGATAATATTTATTTTCATATCCGATTTTATTTGGCTGTGAAATACTGTTTTGCTCTCATTAAACTGTTATACAGATTCAAAAATCCAAATTTCGGGATAATATTTCATTATATCCAATATATGGAAGAAAAATTTCATTATATTTAATATATTTAAGATATAATTACGATTTTAAGAGAATATAATAGCTGTATAACAGTTTTGCCAAACTGTTATACACTTCAAAATGACCTAAAATACTAGCTTTTGTCAATAGCACTCATTTTTAAACAATTTTCTTCATCTTTTGCAATCATGGAAAACTGTTATACTACATAAAATTTAATTTTTATAGGTTTAATATAATAATTGTATTTATGATTTTTGTAATTGTTTTAATTATTGGTCATTAAATAATATTTATTTTCATAACCGATTTTATATGGCAGTGAAATACTGTTTTGCTCTCATTAAACTGTTATACAGATTAAAAAATCCATATTTTGAGATAATAATTCATTATATTCAATATATGAAAGAAAAATTTTATTATATTTAAGATATAATTACGATTTTGAGACAGTATAACAGTTGTATAACAGCTTTTTCCAAACTGTTATACACTTTGAAATTGCTTAAAACTATTCCCTTATTTAATAGCATTGATTATAAAACAAATTTCTTAATTTTTAGCACACTTGGAAAACTGTTATACAACATAAAAATCAGTTTTTGTGTCTTAAAAAAAAATATTTTATATAAAAAATTTTGTATTTAATATATTTAAGATATAATTACGATTTTTAGACAGTATATTAGTTGTAAATTAAGATCATAAATCCGTTTGACAATTAAAATCTTTTTTTTGCTTTTGTTAAACTGTTATAGCAACTCAAAATCAATATTTGGAGTAGATGCTGCAATAATATTTTATTATATCGAATATTTATAAAGAATCTTGCAACACTTTAAATATATATTCAAAATATATGATTTTTAAGAAGTATAACAGTTTTATAACAGTTTTGTAAAACTGTTACACACGTCGAAATTGTTTCAAAATAATTCCCTTTCCTAATAGCATTGATTATAAAACATATTTCTTAATTTTTAGCATCCTTGGAAAACTGTTATACAACAGAAAATTTAGTTTGTGATAGTTTGAAGAGACATTTTTGTATATACAGGTTGTAATTGTAAGAATTAAATATCAAAAATGTTTTTAAGCATTTTTTTTGGTAACAAAAAAAATTTTTCCTCCAAAATAACTGTTATACAGATTTAAAAATCAATATTTTGAGAAGTTGTTTCAATAATATTTTATTATATCCCATATATAGAAGAAAAATTTCATTATATCCAATATATATGCAAATAATTATGATTTTAAGGCATTATAACAGTTTTTTCAAACTGTTATACACTTTAAAATTAATAAAAACAAATCCTTTTCACATTAGCATTGATTTTTAAACGTATTTGTTAAATTGTAGCACACTTGGAAAACTGTTATACAACATAAAAATCAGTTTTTTCATTAGACAACAAAAATATTTTATGAAATAATTTTGTAATTGCATAAATTACTGGTAAATAAGATTATTAATACCTCTAGTCAGTTTTTTCGACTTGAAAAAAATTTAATTTTTTTTAAAAATGTTTGTTTCTGCAAAACTGTTATATCAACTCGAAATTAATATTTTGAGAAGTTGCTGCAATAATATTTCATTACATACACTATATTAAAAAATATATATATGATTTTTACGATGTATAACAGTTTTCTTAAACTGTTATGCACATCAAAATTACTTAAAACAATTCTCTTTTCTAATAGTATTCATTTTAAATCATATTTGCCAATTTTTGGCACACTTGAAAAACTGTTATACATCATAAAAATTAACTTTCGTGTGTTTGAAAAAAAAAAATTATATATTTCATTCTATTTTATATTTATATAAAATTTTTTTAATCCTAAATAAAAATAATTAAAGAAATTTTATTGTAAATGAGTAAAACAATTGTATACCAGTTTTGTACAAGAATTCCCCTAAAGTTGTTAAATGCTTAGTATAACAGTTTATTTTTAGCGATTAGACAACTTTAATTTTGTTTTTTATGTTATTTCAAAAAAATCTCAACCTTGTTTTTGTCAATAACGATTAAAAATTCTATGGTTAGTATAACAGTTTTTTGGAACTGTTATACTTTTCGAATTTAGTTGTTTGTCGCATTTCTGACAAATTCCATTGATATTTTCGTAAACTTTGATGTTGTTTTACAATTTTAATTGTTTATTTTGAACAGTATAACAGGTTCGGGTAGCTGTGCCTTTAATTAAATTGTTAGTTATGTCCAAATATTGAGTTATTTCAATTACAATACGCTGAAATTTAATCATTTAAAATGTTTGAGCAATATAAAGGCAGTATAACAGTTTAACAAAAAACTGTTACACAACGCAAATTCATTTTTTCCATGATTTTATGGCTCTTTTGGAACAATTAATTAACTAATTACCATTTTTTAATTTTATAAATTTTTTCCTTAGTATAACAGTTATCCAATTTTCAGTATTATTTTTCATTCATCATTTTTTTTTATTTTATTCGCATATAAAATATGTTCTTCCTTCATGTTCTCGTCTAGGTTAATTTTTTCAGCAGTTTTTTTTTCAAACTTATCTCTAAGTATTTCCTTTAGGGTTTTAAAAAAATTTCAAAATTTTCTATTGCACAAAAATATTGTGTGTAAATAATTTAAAGAAGAAAAACAAAATGGTGGTGGTTGTTATAATAATGATAATAAATTAATTATACTATTGTAAATAATATCCATACTCATTAACTTCAAATCTCTCATCTGATGCTTGCTTTGTTTTATTGTTTTTTTATTTATCTCTTGTCCAAACGAAAATGTCATTTAATGTCTTCTCATATTGAAGAAGGAAGTCTTCGTGCAGGGATGGATGGAGGTCTACCCTGTAAATACATTGATCGAACATAAGGATATTAAAGTTGAGATAATTAAAATTACCCAAAATTGATTTTTTCTCATGAAATGTTAACATTTCGGTGATATAATTGTGTATCACAATGCCTTCTCGATAGTGTATAACGATAAAATCATTCTTATTTGCACCTATGAAGTTATACACTGGTTTTTACATAATTTTCTTATTATTTTATGTAGTATAACAGTTTGGTTGAAACTGTTATACAAGCTTAAAGTGGTAAAATCGTTCTTAATTTTCAAATTTAAGACATTTAAATCATTTTTTACACAATTAAAAGTATATTTTTTGAGTATAACAGTTTTATTGCTACTCTTATATAGGTTGAAAGTTAAAAATTCAGTCTTAATTTTTCAATTTAGGCCCTAACAATGATTTTTACACAATTTTCTGTGTGTTTTCTTGAGTATAACAGTTTTCTTGAAACTGTTATACAACCTAAATGTTGTAAAATCTCTCTTAATTTTCGAATGTAGGTCCTTAGAATAATTTTTACACAATTTGTTTTCAGGTTTTTCAGTATAACAGTTTTCTTGAAACTGTTATACAAGCTAAATGTTGTGAAATCCTCCTAAATTTTCAAATTTAGGCCTTTTCGAAAATTTTCACACAATTTATTGTCTAATTTTTGGAGTATAACAGTTTTTTTTGAAACTGTTATATTGGTTTAATGTTGCAAAATCATTCTTAATTCATAAAATAAAGTCCTTGCAATAATTTTTACACAGTCTCGGAGTATTTTTTGAGTATAACAGTTTTCTTGAAACTGTTATACAGACTTAATGTCGTAAAATCATACTTAAATTTTCAAATATAAGCCTTTAAAATAGTTTTTATACAATTTAATGAGTATTTGTTGAGTATAACAGTTTTCATGAATCTGCCATACATGCTCATTGTTGTAAAATCATCCTTAATCTTCAAATTTTGCGCCTTACAATAATTTTTACAGAATCTTCTGTGCATTTTTTCATTATAACAGATATTTTGAAACTGTTATATAAGCTTAATGTTGTAAAATCTCTCTAAATTTTAGAATATGTGCCCTCACAATAAATTGAGTTATTGTTTTATTTTTTGATTATAGCAGTTTTCTTGCAACTACTATGCAGGCTGAAAGTTTGTGAAATCATCCTAAATTTACAAATTTAGGCCCTTGCAATAATTTTTACACAGCCTTCGGTGTATTTTGTGAGTAAAACAATTTTTTGAAACTGTTATACAGGATTAATCTTGAAAAAATAATTTGTAATTCTCAAATACAGGTACTTGCTATAATTTTACACAAGGTTTTGTGGTTTTTTTGTTTGGAGTATAACAGTTTCATTTCAGACTTACTATTGAAAAATCACTTGTAATTTTCAAAATTTGGTCCTTGCAATAATGTTCAGACAATATTCGGTGTATTTTTTGGAGTATAACAGTTTTTTTTTTTAACTGTTATACGAGCTAAAAGTCGATTTTTTTCGAATTACAGTTTGAAAAATTGTGAAGTATGTTGAATTTGTAAATTCTCTTCGAGTATAGCAATATTCATGAAACTGTTATACACATCTTACATGTGCTTTTTTCGAATTTTATTTTCAAAAAATGTGAAGTATGCAGAACTTCTTAATTAACAGTATTTTCCAGATTTTCTTCGAGTATAACAGTTTCATAAAAACAGTTTTTATGAAGCTGTTATACTAGGTAAAATTCGAATAATGTTGTAGAATCTCTTTTAATTTTCGAATATATGTCCTTACAATAATTTTTTCACAATCTGCTGTTTATTTTTTGAGTATAACAGTTCTATTCAAACTGTTATACAGAATAACTCTTGAAAATCATTCGTAATTTTCAAATGCAATAGTTTTTACACAATCTTATGTGTATTTTTTGGAGTATAACAGTTTTCTTGAAACTGTTATACAACCAAAATATTGTACATGCTCTCTTAATTTTCAAATGTAGGTCCTTATAATAATTTTTGCACAATTTGTTGTCGTGTTTTTCAGTATAACAGTTTTTATTGAAACTGCTTTACAGGCTTAATGTCAAAAATCAATCTTAAATTTTCTTATATAAGCCTTTACAATTTTTTTACACAATTTTCTGTGTGTTTTTTGAGTATTGCAGTTTTCTTGAAACTGTTATACAAGCTTAATGCTGTAAAATAATCCTTAATTTTCAAAATTATTCCCTAACAATAATTTTTACACAATTTGTTGCTTGGTTTTTAGTATAACAGTTTTTATGAAACTGTTATACTATGTAAAATTCGATTTTTTCGAATTTTCTTTTCAAAAAAATTTGAAATAATGTTGTTGTTTAGCATTTTTTTTAATTTTTTTCAAGTATAACAGTTTTCATAAAACTGTTGTACGTAATTTTTTCGTTTTTTAAATTGTGTGTTTTAAAATTAATAGCATTTTCAAGAGTTTTCTTCGAGTATAACAGTTTTCATAAAACTGTTATACTAGGTAAAATTCGATTTTTGTCGATTTTTTTTTTGAAAAGTTCAAAAGCGATTTTAGAGTTCAAAAGCGATTACATCTTACGTTCAATGCATTTACAGTGGGCTACCCATTCCAAAAAAATCGTCAAATTTGTCCTCGTCTCTCTCTCTCTCTCTCGTCGACGTCTATCTTATATCTCTTTTTGGTTTGTTTTATGTTGAAATTCCCGTTTTTTAGAACCTCTAGTTATTTATTAGTATAACACATTTTAATATATTTAAAACAAAGCAATACCAAACCTCCCCCCTTTTCAATCGAATTCATCAATATTTATTTTGCAAATGTATTTTTTTCTTCTTCTCTTTTTATGTTTCTTATAAATTAAAATTTACCAAATAATGAATAAATAAAACGCATTTTTATGTAAAACAAAAAACACCCACAAAATAATAATCATGACGTGACGAAAATTTAAACGAAAAACCAATCTATCAACGCAATATTATGTGGTGGCACAAAAAACGACGATTTTCTAACCTTAAAAAAAATATATATAATATTTTATAACAACAACAATATGTATAAAATTTGGTGGAATAACTCATGCAACAACGATGGTTCATTTTTTAACCAAAAACAAAAAAATACGACTGTGTTTTTTTTTTTTTTCAAATCTAAATGTATAACAACTCAATGTCCATTCATTTATCCATGGGTTTTGGTGGTACGTTTTCATCTCAATTAAATGTCCTTAACTGTAATATTTTTTTTCTGTTGGTGTAAAATCTAAATGTTCTACCCTACCTATTTGGCTACATTCCATCATAATGTAAATATTTTACAACAAAACCAATTTGTCCCATGGAAACACCCATATGCACATCATGAACACGCAATGCTCTGTCCCCACCACAATGCCTTTGTATCTCTCTCACGCTCTCTTTTGAACGGTTAATGGGGCAAAAATTACCAATTATTTTGGCAAAACATATCAATGTCCGGTAAATGTGAATAACAACAACAACAAAAATAAAAAAATCCAGGTTTTGATGCCTTGGGTGATGTGTTAAAGCCCGGCATAACAGCCACCTCTGCCACAGCAGCCACACTGGCTGCCGGTGGTGGTGGCGGGGGCAAGACCTCCTCCGTAAATCAAACACAAATTATAACTTCAGGTGACCACCATCATCAGCAGCAGCAGCAGCAACAACAACAACCAGCCAGCACTGGAAAGATTTTGACCGGCGATTTGGATAGTTCGCTAATGTCGCTTGTAGAAAATTTAAACATAAATAAAACAGCTACAACAAAGTGAGTAAACAACAAAAACAACAACCACATCATTATCATCATCTTCAAACAACAGCAACAATGACATACCATACAAAAAATGCATGCCATACCACCTCATGCTTGCCTACCCGCCCAACCATTTATCGCTCTCATGCTATCCTATTTCTGTCGCTCCTTTCAAGAAATTTTCACATATTTCCCAAAATTGGCTTGCTTAAAAACATTTTTTCTTTCACATATTTCCCCGAAAATTGGCTATTCCATTGCTTCAAAACATTTTGAAAAAAAAAAAATCAATCTTTTTCAAAAATTTCAAATTTTTAATCGAAAAAATCAAAGATAATATTACACAGTGCAACATAAGATTTCAAATTGGAATTTTGCGAAAATTTCCTCTATTTGTCATATGTCAAGATATTCAAATAAAACTCATTTAAATCTTCTTTTCGACGATTTTCTTCCAAGTAAAAAAAAATCCAAAAACAGTTTTAGAATCATAAATAACTCTTTAAAATATTAGAATATTACTACTAGAGTTTTATTTTTAGGATTTTATAGGTTTTTCTTCAGTATAACAGTTTTGAAGAAAACTGTTATACAGTATAAAATGGGTTTTTTCCATGAATTGTGAAATAACAATACATTATTTTTACAAAAAAAGTGTTTTTCGCAATAATTTTCAACTTTTCGACAGTATAACAGTTTTAAACTAAACTAAAAACTTGGAAAATGGGATTTATAATCTTAATTCGCGTCCCAAAACGTTCAAGAATTGTCTAAACAATCATTTTCCTACAATAATGTACAATTTCTTCAGTATAACAGTTATAAAGAAAACTGTTATACAACTGGAAAATTTTTTTTTTCTAATAATTAACATTTATTATTGTCAAAAAATGTCCAGAAACCATCTGAAATATTTTTTTGCCATTTTTTCGAAATTTAGTTGCATAATATTCAACGTTTATGTAGTATAACAGTTTTTAAATTAACTAATAATGCGAAAAATGGGATTTATATTTTTAAATCTCCCTCCATAACATTAAAAAATTATCTAAACAATTTTTTTCCTGCAACACTGCACAATTTCTTCAGTATAACAGTTTCGAATAAAACTGTTATACACCTAGAACATTTATTTTTATTACAACTATGATTGATTATTGTTCCAAAATATCTAGGAACCATCCGAAATAATGTGTCTGTCATTTTTTTTAGAAATTTTTTTTTTTTAGTTGCAATAATATTCAACTCTTTGACAGTATAACAGTTTTTAAAAAGAACTAAAAAATGGAGTTAAAAAATTTCAACTCTCTTTCTAAATCGTCCAAGAATTGTCCAAACAATATTTTTCCTACAATATTGTACAATTTCTGCAGTATAACAGTTTCACATCAAACTGTTATACACCTAGAAAAATATTTTTATAAAAATTAGGATTTATTTGTGTTCCAAAATATCCAGGAACCATCTGAAATACTTTTTTGTGTCATTTTTTGGAAATTTCTTTGCAATAAGATTCAACGTTTGGGCAGTATAACAGTTTTTAAATGAATTAAAAACACGAAAAATGGTATTTATAATTTTTAATCTCGTTCCAAAACGTCCAAGAATTGTCTAAATTATATGTTTCCTGCAATGTTGTACAATTTCTTTAATATAACAGTTTTACATCGAACTGTTATACACCTAGAAAAATATTTTTAAAAAAAATTAGGATTAATTTTTGTTCCAAAAAATATCTATCAACCATCTGAAATAATGTGTTTGCCATTCCTTGAAAATTTCTTCAGTATAACAGTTTTGAAATTAATTAAAATCATTAAAATTTAGATTTATTATATTAATAAACGTTGGAAAACGCCCAAGAACTACCTAAATAATATCTTTCCTAAAATATTTTTTAGTTTCTTCAGTATTACAGTTTAAAACCAAACTGTTATACATCTGGAAAATACATTGTTCTAAAAATTATTATCTATTATTGTTCCAAAATATTCAGAACAAACCAAAATAATTTTTTTAACATTTTTTGAAAAATTCTCTAGTATAACAGTTTTGAAATTAATCAAAAAATCATGAAAATTTAGATTTATTATATTGAAAACACCTAAGAACTACCAAAACAATATTTTTCTTACAATGTTTGGTACTTTCTTCAGTATAACAGTTTAAAATCAAACTGTTATACACCTTCCAATTACATTTTTATAAGAAATATAATTTTTTTGTTGTGCCAAAATATCCAAAAACCATGTGAAATGAATATTTTTTTGCAATTTCTTCAGTATAACAGTTTTAAAATTACTTCAAATCTAGAAATATAGGATTTATAATTTTAATTCACATTCAAAAACATCTATAAATTATGTAAACAATATTTTTCTTACAATATTTAGTAGTTTCCTCAGTATAACAGTTTCTAACCAAACTGTTATACATCTCAAATATATATTTTTCAAACAAATATTTTTTCTGAAATATTTTTTTTACAAATATTTCCGAATAAAACTGTTATACACCTTATAAATTCATTTTACCACTCTTATTATTGCAACTGGGGTTCCAAAACGTCCATGAACCAAGTAAAAAATATTTTTCCTGTAATATTCTGAAAATGTTTCTGTATAACAGTTGCGAACAAAACTGTTATACACCTCAACAAATACATTTTTTTAACAAATTTGCGATTTATAATTGTAATTCATATTCTAAACTATGGTTATAAACTATCTAGGTAGTGGTATCACTATTGCAAATTTCTTCAGTTTTTAAGAACTTAATTATTTTAATTTCCACTTCTAAAGGTCAAAAAATTAACAAAATGATCTTTTCCTAGAATTTTTTTTGTGAATTTCTTTAGTATAACAGCTTTGAACAAAAATATGCACATTCCTAAATGTCCAAAAAATAGCGAAAAAATCTTTCTTTATCATTTTTGAAAATTTCTTTAGTATAACAGTTTCGAACAAAACTATTATACAACAGAAAAAATAATTTTGAAATCAATTTTCATAATATAGCACAATATTTTTTTGTGCAAAATGTTTTCCTGAGGTAATATGACAGTATAACAGTTTAGGCGAACTCGATATGATAAATTTCTTGTTTTTTTCGACAATATAACATTTTTGGGCCATTCAACTTAAAAAATTATGCATTGTACTGGATTTTCCTTGAGTATAACAGTTTGTATAAAACTGTTATACTCATAAAAACTTCTTGAAAATGTGGTTTTTGCATTTTCCTTTGCGTATAACAGTTTGTAAAATATATTTTATGAATTTAAATGAAATTTTCTGTAGTATAACAGTTTGGATGAAACTGTTATACTCGACAAATTTGAAAAAAACATGATTCTCGTATTTTTCTTTGTGTATAACAGTTTGGGTGAAACTGTTATACTCATACAAATTGCCTTGAAATAATGGTCTTTCATATGTAACGCCGAAGGAAGTTACAAAATGGTTAATTCGGATTAATCTTTCTCAAACATATGTTGCACTGTGTAATTTTTTGTGATATTTTCATAAAAACATTGCAAAAATAAAAAAATGATTTAAAAATTCCAAAATGTTCTAAACATAAAAAACATTCTAAATTATTTGCCTCAAATCCCTAAGCCTTCTTTCCTTTGCTTAAAAATCTCCTTTTGAATAATAGGTAAAAAATATTTCAAAATTTCTAATAAGGAAATGTCCATTGCATTTCCTTCCTTAAACCTTCTTTCCTGCTGATTTTTTTCCACTCCAAACCTTCAAGAGTTCCTTAATGCTTCCTTGATGATATCCTTCACACATCTCGCATTTAGCTGTCATATCCATTTCAATGCCACATCTGCCATAACTATCCCTCCACCAAAACAAAAAAAATCAAGCAAAAAAGAAAACTAGCCCAAAACCACCAACAAACTCTTCTTCCCATTATTATTCATTTTCCATAGACCTGTGCAATGGAATTCACCGAAAAATACCGCGAAACCCGGTGCTAATTGGACACCTCAACCTATGGCTGCTACAACTGGTGCTGGCTATCGTCCAATGGTGAGTGTTTTGTCTTTGCTTAAAAACGAATCAAATAAACCACAACAACTACAACAATAAAAAAAAAAAACATCAAGAACAACAAAAACCCAAATAATTCTAAATATTAGCAAGAAAATCAAATTCAACAACAACAATAGCAAATATACCGCTATATTGTTTTCAATTTTGTTTTGTTATTCCAAAAAACGAAAAAAAATGTGTTGCTTCTGTTTTTTACAAAATTCTTTCGGCTTTGGCTATTTCCAAAACAAAGTTTTTTTATTCAATTTGTTAAAAATTAAAAAAAAAATTGTTTCCAAAAATTGTATGTCCTCCGGAGTCCTGGCTTGACTCTGTTGCTATTTCAAAAGGATTATGACGAAGTTCCGATTTCGTTTAATTTTTTTTTTACAAAAAAAAAAAAAAAAAAAAAAAATTACGTGCCGTTTGTTGTGTCAGTTTGCATTTAAATCGCTATAACATTTTTATTGTTTATTTGTATTTTTTATTTTCATGTTTATTAATATTTTATTTTGCTAAATATTTGTTATTTTATTTATTTTATATTTATTATTTATATATAATGTTATGCTTTATTAGAAATCACATATCGAATATTTATTGGCTTGAGAAAAATATTAATTAGCGCTACAGTAGTGACTTTGTAGATTTCCCCATTTTGGCTAAGAACTTATTTCAGAGCAAAAATCGACGCAGTATAATATTCGTTAAGTCGACGTTTTATGGGAGATTTTTAATTTTTACCATTTGCCAGAAGTAGGAGATAAATTTTGGAAAATTTGTAACTCCATATTTTTGATATTTTGACCAAATCGCACATTTTTTTCGAGTCGAAAGACTGGCGTAAGGTAGTCATTCTAGGCCGATTTAAAATGTCCTGAAAAGTATTTAGACCAAAGTGACTAGGGTCTTCTGCTCAAGATTCTATACAAAGACGGAGTTTCCGTTGTTAGAAACATGTCAATCTATAAAACGTCTGCCCGTGTTTCCTTACTTGTTTTTTAGGTTCTCCTTTTTAAACGTAAGACAATTTTAATATTATTTTTATCCGAAAAAAAAATCATCCGCTTAACTTTTTTCCGAAAGTCTTGTAAGGGACATTCTGTTCGAGAATTAATATGCATGCCAGTCGGAAAGACTAACAGTCAGGCATAAGCCTAAATCAACTTCAAAAGGGCGGAAACAAACGAGACTAGGAGTCTTTCTTTTCATGAATTATCATCCGCCCCAGCTCGAAAAGCTGGTGGTCGAACCTCAGTCTAGATCGACTTCAAATGTCTATAAACAAATTTATTTATTATAAAAAGACAAAGGGTCTATCCTTGAAGACCCGCCATGAAAGATTCACAGGGTCTTATATATGTTAAAAATAAATATATATTAATAGAGGAACTGTGGGCTCACCTGTCGTAGGAAACTTTTCTCATAGTAATAGATCCTTAGATGGCAAAGCACAAATCTGCCCAAAGTGGAGATAGTACAGGTTTGTTAAAATCTGAAACATATGTCCATTAGAAGTTGAAAGTTGAAATGGTACAACGAAATTCTGTTATAAACTTGCCACTATTTTTTATTCTGCAGATTTTTTGTTTATTTAAAAAAAAAAAAATTTCTTAGTAGGCTTTTAATGGGGGTTTTGGAACAGTGCCAATATCTCGTTCCGCCCGAGAGTATGCTAATAATTTTGCTTCGCTCGAATAATATAGGATTATTAAAGTTTGCCAGAATAGTAGCAGAATGTTAATGAGAGCTAAGCGCCATCTATTAGCATTCAACAAACGTTACACTCTGAGCGACCTAAAATCATTGGCATACTCTTAGGCGTATTGATATATCAGCGCTGTTTCAGAACCTCCATAAAATTCTACTACAATTTTTTAAGAGGAAAACAATTGATTTAATAAAAAGAAATGCTAGTAAAACTTGTATGTGAACTATTAAGAATCCATGAGAATGGATATCTCTTGAAAAACGATTTGCTCGGCAAATTTGTTCCAGGACCTCCATAAACCTTCTACTGTCATCCTAGCAAATTTGAACAAACCTGAACTCTATCTTCATTGATACCGAAACCAAAAAATTAATAAAACTTGTAGGCAACTAAACGAGAATTCAAGAACGGATTTTTCTTGTTAAACTTTTTGCCCTGCAAATTTAAATTATCATTTGGCAGACCTGAACTCTTTGAGCGAATAAAATTTTTGCTTTGTTTCAGATAGCCCATTAACCTCCTACTATTCTTGTAACTTTTAACAAACTTGTACCGGCTAAAGTAAGTCAATTTTTTATTGTATTCTTAAGAGTAGTTTTATATTCGGTTTGTTCTAAAACCTCAATAAATCTCCAACTAGCATTTTTGGCAATTTTTAAAGGAAGAAAATTGCCGTGACAGAAAAATAACTATTAAAAATTGTAGGAAAAAAATGAGAATTCAAAAATAAGTTTTTCTTAAAAATATTTTTACTCCAAAAATTGGATTAACATTTGGCAAACTCGAACTCTCTAAGTGACACCCATTCTCCGAATGAAAATAATACATTTGTTCTGTTTCAGACCCTCCATATACCTCCTACTATCATTTTTGCCACTTAAAACCAACATTTACTCTCCGAGCGACATACGAGCGTATGTACGAGCGATGTAAATTTAGTAGCATACCTTCAGGAAGAATTTTATTTTAGCTCTGTTTTAAAATCTCCTTCAACTTGTAAATAGAAAACCATACCCAAAAAAACATGATAATTATTTGACAAACTTGGCAGAGTAAAAAATAGTGGCATGTCTGTTTCAGAACCACCATAAAATGCCTACTGCCATTCTAGCAACTTTTAACAATCTTGTACTGTCCAAGCAACATAAAATGATGAGCATACCATCAGGGGGAATAATAAATTAGCTGTGTTCCAGAACTTACATAAATCTCCTATTAGCAATCTTTCAATTTAAAATTTTCAAATTTTCAAATCTGACGACAAAATATGAGAATACAAAACATTATTCAACAAACCTGGAAGAGTAAAAAATAGTGAACAGTCCCAGAATCGCCATAAACCTCCTACTTAGGCGTTTCTTTATATTTTCTTGGTTTTAGAGCCTCCACTGATATCCTACAATTATTCTTGCATCTTTTTTGCCGAGTAAAAAATTATGGTTAATTTGTCTTCTCCTTATGACATTTTACTAGTTTCCGTTTCACGACTTTGAAAGATTGACTTGTTACGAGTTTTAAAATAAACTAAAAAGATATGGGAAATATTAAGCTCTCACAAATAGGCATTGAACAATAACGAGCGCTAATAGATGGCGTTAAAGTCGTTCTTGGTTTTGACTCACAATAAATTTAACTTTTCATATAACACAACGATTTTTTTTGTCGTTTTGGGATAGAGATATTCTTTCGTCTTTTTGATATATTTAAAATATTTCAGTATATTATTTTAATTTTGAAAGCTGCCAGTGGGACCCTAACCCCTTTTCCTTGTTAGAAAATCCCATTAATTTGAGAAGTTAATTTTTAACATGTAGATGGCTCTGACTTCGAGCTGTAACTTTAAATGATTACAACGTCAATATTTGACATGAATTGTGACAAATGTATATTCTTCTCATACCTTGTAAAAGATATATAAGTGAAAACTATATATATTTCTTAGCGCCATTCAGCGCCATCTGTTATTCGGTTTTGAGTATAAAATATAGGGTTTTCTAGTTTCAAAGCATCGTAAATATGGCAATAACTGCACATGTATCCAAATTTACCATCATATTGTGCAAGAAAATGCTACATTTTACACTAAAAACCCAACGAACATATGGCGCTAAATGTCAAGTCATGATAAATATTGAATTCAAATAATAAAAAAAGAAATGTGATAGCTGAAGGTGGTCAGATGTGAAAAAAATAAATTTGTCACAATTCATGGCAACTAACAACGTTATAAGCATTTAAGAAGTTGCAGATCGAAATCTAGCGCCATCTACATATTAGAAAAAACTGGAATAGACATTATACGCTATGAAGGTTTGTGTCTGAGGCAATAACGTGTCCAAGGCTCCTAGCCAAATGACAGGGTATGAAAGATTACTGAGGAAGGTTAAGTTCTAAATTAAATTTTAATCTTTAATCATTGAAATTTTTAAAAAATATTAAAGATTATTAAATAAGGTCCCACTACAAAATATTGAAATTTTTAACCCTTCAAAAATTATATATTTAATTTTTTTTTTAAATTAAAGCGTACATTTACTCTTTTTTTTAAATATGATGAGATTATCAAAGGTCCCAATACAAAATTTTGACATTTTAATCTTCCAAAAATGTTATTATATTTTTTTAATTAAAGGATAAATATTTTCCTTAATTAAAAAAAAAAAATAAATAAAAATATGATGCAATTATCAAAGGTCTCAATACAAAATATTGAGATTTTAATCTTTAATTTTTTTTTCTAAAGTTAAAGGGTACATATTCTCCTTAATTTTTTTAAAAAATATGATGCGATTATCAAAGGTCCCACTATAAAATATTGAGATTTTAATCTTTCAAAAAAATTATTTTATTTTTTTAATTAATTAAAAAAAAATGATGCGATTTTGATAATCCAACCAATACAAAATATTGAGATTTAATCTTTATTAATTTTTTTAAATTTAAGGGTACATATTCTCCTTATTTTTTTAAATATGATGCAATTATCAAATGTCCCAAAGGAAAAATATTGAGATTTTAATCTTAATTTTTTTTTAATTTTTTTCTACAATTAAAGAGTACATATTCTCCTTATTGTTTTTTTTTAATATGATGCAATTATTAAAGGTTCCAATCAAAAATATTTAGATTTTAACCTTTAATTTTTTTTTTTAATAAAAATGTAAGGCATACATATTTTTAATTTGTGTATTTTTATATTTTTTATACACAAAATTACAAATTATTGAAAAATTATATATTATTTTATAATATTATTTATTTACTTATATCGCTAAAAATATTCTTTATTTCTCTTCTCTTTTATTTCCGACTAACATTTTTTTTGATTTTCTTTTTTTAATTTATTTTTTATTTTATTTTCTTTTTCGTTTTTGGTTTATTTTTTTGCTACTACATGGTTTGTGTCTGTGTAACTACTCTGTCTGTGCCCCTCCACTTGGTCCTCACACACTCACAACTGTAATCCGCTCCGCTCACATCCTGAAAATGAAAATTGCCTTCCCCGGTTTACAACCACGCCATTGTTGTGTCATCATCTTGTCATTAATTTTTTTTTTCTAAAAAAAAAAATTGTCAACATCAAAATGACGTCATGCAACCAAAAACCCCAAACTTTAACTTGTTGTTGTCTAAAATGTTGCAATGAAATGCGTTGTTATAAATTAACAAAAAACCAAAAAAAAAAAAAAACGGATATTAATCGATTGTTTTTAAATCGATGACTTCCAACTACCACCCTAAATTTTTATTGAAAAAAAAAAAAATAAATAAATAAATTGTATTATTTTTTTTAATTGTATAAAAAAACACACACACAAAAAATACATATTTTGTATTTTTTAAAAAAAATGATAACCACACTAATTTTATATATATATATATATATATATATATATATATATATATATATATATATATATATATATATATATATATATATATATATATATATATATATATATATATATATATATTGTTTTTAAAAATGAAATATTGAAAATAATTTTTTTTGTTAACTAATTTTAATTATTATTACTATTATTATAACATAAATAATGTCGTCTCTAAACAAATACAAATCATGTTAATGTGACCAAAAATTTATAATAATTGTATTAGGCACATGGCATGACTGTAAGTCCTGCGCCAATCACAATTAATCATCCGTATATACATGCTAATTATCCTGTAATACCAAATTATATGCAGGTAAGATTTAATTTATTTTTTTGTTATAGTATTTCTTTTTCCTGTATTTAATTTTTGTTTTAACGATTTTTTCGGTTTTTTTATGTTTGAGAAGGAAAAAAAAACTGATTGTAAATTAATTTTTTTGTTTTTAATTTTTTTATTTTTAATATTTTTTATTTTTCAACTTTATTTTTATATATAAAAAATTATGTTTTTAATTTTGTTATTAATAGCTTGATATAGTTTGTAATTATTTTATTTTGCCTTGTTTTTTTTTGTTTTGTTATTTTCTATTTTCCAATAATCGCTCAACTTCATCATAATCACTAACTAAACCCGCAAAAAAAAAATCAATGCAAAAATTCTTCTACTTCTTCTCATTTTCTCTATTAACGACAAAAAAATTTTATGATCTCAAGACAAACATTTTGTATCCTATTTTCCCTTCTCCCTATTTTCCTATCATGGCTCTCTTCTACCTTCTCCTCTTCTGGTCATGCCTAAAGCTAAACAAACAACACGCTATACTCTTTAGAATTATCTACATACATACGTTACATATATATGAAAAATATTAAACACTCTTACATGCATAAGTAGCTATTGATATGAATATCACCACAGTTTTTCAAGAAAATTTTGTCATAAAAAAATTTAATTTTTAATTAAAAAAAAAATTTTGAAAAAAAAATTGCTGGATAAAAAATTTAAATTTCTGAAAATAAATTCATAAATTTTTTTGCCATAAATGTTTTCAGGGCAGACTGTATTGAAACTATGCTAAAATACTATGTATTGTTTTGTAGTTTTGCAAAATTTATTTTTAATTTTTAGAGAAAGCTTTTATTATTTTTAAGAGGATCAATGGGAATTGTTATAAATTGGACGATATCTCGTACATTTTTAAAGGTTTTTTTACCTAGTCCGTATTGGATTTTTTTTTAAGATTATTTTCAGCGAAATGGACGTTTATATTTTTTAATTTTATTTTGTTTTTTATTATTATTTCTTTTTTTTTTGATTTTAAAGACTAAAATCGATTTTATATTTTTTTAAAGATTCTTTCTCCAAATAACTATTTTAAGGACAGATTGTGAAATTTTTAAATATTTCTTTTAAATAATTTGTTCTAGGACTAAACGTGGATTTTTGTAAGATTTTTTAAGTAATATTTAAAAAAGCTCGCGACAAAAGTGGATTTTTTCAAATCATGGACCGATTTTTAATTGTTTTTTAAGAACCAAAGAGTTTTTTCAAGTTCTTAATGCTGATTTTTAAGGAATTATTTGAATGTCTTAACGGGGATTTTCAAGGATCCTTTGACTTTTTAAGATTTTTTTGACGTTTTTTCATAGACCAAAACTTTTTAAAAAATAATTTACGGAATGTAGATTTTGTATTTTTTTTTTTTGAATATTTTTTACTTTTTTTCCAAGTTCTAAATGTTAATTTTTAAAAAAATATTCGAATGTCTTAACGAGGATTTTTTAAGGACCTCCCTTTGATTTTTTAAGAATATTGTTTTAAATACTATAAGTGGATTTTTTAAATATTTTTTTTACAAAGATTCAACGTGGACTTTTTAAGATTTTTTTTGATGACTTTGACGATTTTTTTAGGGACAACATTTTAAAAAATCATTGACCGAAAGTAGATTTACTAAAGAATACTTTTCATTCTTTTTAAGGACCAAAGAGTTTTTTTTAAGGGGTCAAGAATTTATTTGAATTTATTAACGAGGATTTTTAAGGACCTCCATTTGATTTTTTAAGAATATTGATTCAAGCACTAAATCTGATACTTTTTTTAAAATATTTGTTTAAAGGATTGAGTTTTTTAGATTTTTTTTTTTTTTAAATTTAGGGACTAAAAATTTTAAAGATTTTTCGGGGTCTTAACGTAATTTTTTAAAGAATTAGTTAAAGAATCGAACTACGAAAAATCGTAAATTTTTCAAGGACCAAATTTTTAAATATTTTTATAAGGCCGAAACAGGATTTTTTTTTATTATTTTTATTATTTTTTTTATTTATTTCGAATTTTTTTAATATTTCAATTTAAATATTTCAGATTATTTAAAGGAAAGAATAAATTTCAATTTTTTTAACATTTTTTTACGAAAAAACATTTTAAAGGTTAAAGACTAAATATGGACTTTTCAAGGACTTTTTTGTGGGACTAAATATAGATTTTGTGAAAGCATATTCTAAAAACTAAAAGATTTTTTTTAGTCAGCAAGAATTGTTTTTTTTTTAATTTTTAAGATTTTTTTTAGAATTTCTTTTTTTCGAGGACTAAACAACAATTTTTAAGAAGACATTACGTCGATTTTTATAAATATTCTTCAAGGACCAAAGCTGAATTTTTTATTTTACATTTGTTTTCAAGGACACAACGAGGGTTTTTTAAGAAATTCCTCAGGGACCAAAAAAAGAATAATTCCAGATATCCCAAAATAGTTGTTTTTTTTTTCATGAAAAATCAGAATTTTTCAAGGAATATTTCAAACACTAAAAGTGGATTATTTAATTTTCTAATTTTATTTAAAGAATATTTTTTCCACTATCTGTGGATTTTTTCAGGTTTTTGAGGATTCCTTTTATAAATTATTTTTTACATATTTTTTTTCAAAGACAAAAAGCTTTTGACATTTTTGAAATATATTTTTGTAAAAGGTTAACAGAAAGAGAATTTTCAAATGATATTTTCAGCGATCAACAGATCCCTGATTTTACTTAGTCCTTATTTAAAAAATTCATTTCTATTGTTCTATTCGTCCTTTGGAAAAAAACGTTATTGGTCTTTTGGTTCTTGAAAAAGATCTTAAAAAAATTCATGATTATTCATCACTTAGTTCTTGAAAGCAATTCTTCAATTAAACACTTTTATTAGTCTCTTTTTGGTCTTTATTTCTTAATCCCTTTTCAATCCATAAATAATGAAAAAATCTTGAAAAAAAATCACGTTTTTGGTACCTTGATCCTTGGAAAATATTCCTTAAAAATCCGCTACAAATCAACCTTTTGCCCGGTCTATAAGAGAATCCAATTTTAGCAGTCCTTAAAAATATTCTTTAAAACACCAAGAAAATTGGTCTATTGGTCCTTAAAAAAAATCTTAAAAAATTCAAGTTTATTGGTTCGTAGGTTAGTGAAAAAGAAATACTTAGAAAATTACAATTATTGTCCTGTTTGGTCCTTTTATAAATATTCTTGAAAAATCCACGATTTTTTTCTCAGTAAGTCTTCGAAAAAGTTTCTTGAAAAAATCTGTCTCATTTCCCATTGGTCTCTCCCATACACCACACCATTCAAAACGAAATCCTGTAACACAGCAAAATTACTTGGCTTTTAGAATTAAAATTTATTATTTTTTTCTGAATATCAAAATTTAGAAATATTTAGAATATAAAAAAACAACAACAACAATATTTATATATTAGTATTAGTAACAGTAAAATAGTTAACATATTTTACACATATCTAACTAGAGATTGTATTGTGACATGCTGCCATGGTAGTAGTACACAGAGCAAAAAGTATGTGCATGATAAGTTTTGATTGCGTCCAAGTAAAAAAAAAAATTATAAAAATTTTCTTTAATTATTTTTATTTTTGTGGAAATGTTCAAAACTAACAAAATTCAATTGACCTCTTTTTGGGGGTCATTTTGTTTTCTTTTTTTTCTCTCTTTGTTTTTTTCTATGCATTTTTCCCACCATTGTGCAGCAGGGAATGCCGGTGATGGGCCAACCTATGATGGGCCAAGCCCCTTTGACTGGCGTACCACCGACGATGACAGCGGCGCCAATGATGATGCCAAGTAATCCAGCTGGTCTGATGCAGGCAACACAACAGCAGCAGCCGGTCATGCAGGCGACGATGATGCAGACAAATGGCGGCAATAAAAGCGTACCCTTAGATCCTTTTGGAGCGTTATAAATTACAACAAAAACAACAATAATAATAATTATATAATTATTAAAAAAAAAAAAAACAAAAAAAAGTAGTTGAAGAAAAACTAAATATTATAAAAATATACAAAAATAACAACAAAAATTATAATTGTTAAAAATTTACCACAACACGAAAGAAAAACAAGAAAAAAACACAAGAGAAGTACCCACTCTCTCGCTGTACCCTCTCTTTTCCCCATCCTCCTCAAACAAAAAAATAAGGAAAAGAGATAAAAATTTAAATAATTAATTAATTATTATGTTTAAACATAAACAACAAAAGAAGACAAAATTTATATTATATATTAAAAAAAAAGGAATATATTATAATTATAACTTGATTATGAAATACAAAATTATTGATGATGATAATGATGATGATAATTAAGAATAAACATAACCCAACTTTAGATTGATGATAAATTAAACCAACCAACCCATAAAAAATATTATTATATTTATATTTAAATATTATATATATACACACATACTATTATCACAACAACAAAAACAACAACCACAAATCATAACCTCCCCCGATCCAAGTTGAAACGAAAGAGAAAAAATAAAACCCACTATTATTTATTAGTTTATATTTAAAATTATATATATATATATATATATATATATATATATATATATATATATATATATATATATATATATTTATATATACAAAAAACAAAATACCCATAAATACAAAATTATAAAAAAAACCCAGAACATACATGCATACATACTTTATTATACATAAATTGAATAAAACACGAAAAAAATTGAAAAAATAGAATTGTGAAAAATATTTATGTAACCAAAATTGTAACAAAATGATATATACCCTGTCTAGCCATATGGCTGAGGGTATAACAACAACCTGAACTATCTCCATGCTTCTTGTAATACAATTCCAATATCCTTCTTTTTCCACTACTTTCGTTGTCCTTTTATTCTAAACTGAGATTGCAATTTAAATGTGAGATATGAGGGTTGAATTTCAAAATTGGCAATGGCTTTGGAAACGAATTAAGGGCCGGTTTCTCTACCACTATACGAAATTGAATAGAAACGAAAAACACCATTCCATGGTACAATCATAAGGTAGAATAGCTTCCAAAACTGCAGACTATATCCGTTTCTTGTGAAACTTGCTTGCAACAAGTTGTTTTCATTTATTAAATTTTTTCCCCATTTTCAAAAGCGGGAAAAGTGAATGAAATGCCTGGATTTTCTTTCAAAAATGTGATCTAAACAGTTCTACTCTTTCAACTCCATGGCAAAATAACCTAAACATTCTCCATGCTTTTTGTAATACAATTCCAATATCCTTTTTTTCCACTACTTTCGTTGTCCTTTTTTATACCCTACACCACAAGGTGGTCAGGGTATTATGTCTTTGTGCATTTGTTTGTAACAGGCAAAAGGAAACAAGATAGAACCATAGTCCCTTTTGATGATCTGCATAGAATCACATTCTGAGTCGATTTATGCATGTCCGTCCGTCCGTTTGTCCGTCTGTCCGTCTGTCCATGTATTTTTGTAAACAAAGTACAGGTCGCATTTATTGTCCGATCCAGATGACATTTTGCACAGATCATTTGTTTGGCCCAAGGACGGACCCTATTGAAATTGGAGATAATCGGTCAAAATTTAGATATAGCTCCCATATATATCTTCGTCCGATGTACCTTTTATTGTGCACCAAACGTGTAATATCAGCCCGAATTGTATGGAATTTTGCATACCATATGCCAAATTTGATCTAAATCGGTTCAGATATAGCTATAGCCCCCATATATATTGTTCATCCGATTTGTTATTTTTGCCCTCCGCTGCCGTAATATGCACTCTGCAACAACAATATTTGGGGAAATATATAAAATACAGCTCAGAAATATATTTGCCAAATTTTATCGATATCGGTTCAGATTTGGATATAGCTCCCATATATAACTTCGTCCGATTTACCCTATATTGTGCACTAAACGTCTAATATTTCTCCAAATGGGATGGAATTTGGCACTTACGGCCGAATTGAGTCTTGAATCTAGTATGTCAAATTTGGTGAAGATCGGTTCAGATATAGCTATAGCTTCCATATATATTGTTCATCCGATTTGTTGTATTTGTTACCCACAACCGTAATATGCACTCCGTAACAAAGATATTTAGGGAAATATATGAAATACAGCTCAGAAATATCTTTGCCAAATTTAATCGAGATCGGTTCAAATTTGGATATAGCTCCCACATATAATTTATCTGATTTCAAATTATTTGTGCACCAAATAAAAGTCCGAATTTTAAAGATACAATTGCTTCGGCATATTTAGTCCTTTGAACTTTAAATTTTAGTTATAATCATAGCGTGTATGATTGGATTCTCCCATAAAAACTTTAAATTGTTATGTGGTGCTCTACTAAATAAGCAAAGTGGTGTAGGGTATCAAAAAAGTCGGCCCGCCCGACTTTAAGACTTTTCTTACTGGTTTCTAAACTGAGATTGCAATTTAAATATGAGATATGAGGGCTGAATTTTGAAATTGGCAATGGCTTTGGAATTGAATTAATTTCAGAATTGAAACGAAAAACACCATCCCATGGTACAAAAGGAGGTTGAACAGCTTCGTAAAAATTACCGATGCAGCCCTGAGGTTGCTTCCTGAGGCCCGCTTCCTGTCAAATTTGCATGCAACAAGTTGTTTTCATTTATTCAATAATTTCATCATTTTTAAAATCAGTTAAACAACGGGAAAAAATGAATGAAATGCCAAGATTTTCTTCCAAATGTCTTTCAACTCCCCATGACAAAACAACCTAAACTTTCTCCATGCTTCTTGTAATAGAATTCCAATATCCTTTTCTCCACTACTTTCGCTGTCCTTTTATTCTAAACTGAGATTGTAATTCAAATATGAGATGAGCTGAATTCCTAAATTGGCAATGGCTTTGGAAACAAATTAAGGGCCGGTTTCTCTATCACTATACGAAAATAGAACAGCTTCGTAAAACTACAGATAAATCCCTGAGGCTATGCCCGTTTCCTGTCAAATTTGCATGCAACAAGTTGTTTTCATATATTTAATATTTTTTCGTCATTTTTAAAAATCAATTAAACAGCGGGAAAATGAATAAAATGCCTGGATTTTCTTTAAAAAATTTTCTTTCTCTCAATTCCATGGCAAAACTGGTGAATAGCTTTAATGCGCGTCTCGCAACGTACGCCAATTCCAATCATTGATTTTGAAAATATTCTGTTTTTATTTTTCAAAACAATAACTACATACACAAAATTTGCAGAAATGGGACACACTTAGAAAATAATTGTAATCAGATGGTGGCTCTACCTTATTTTTTTATTGTTACATGCACCATTCCAAGTGTATTTTTCAAATTTTGGTTAAATTTTACTCCAAATAATTGTAATAATTTCGAAAAACTTGTTTGGAAATCATTCATATTCGGAAAAGAATTTAAGGTGCGAGTACACAAAATACTTTTTTGACTGGCCTAAGTCATCGTCTGGCTTATTCGTAAGTTTTAGGTTGCCATGATTTTGTATGAAAATTAGCCAAATATGCAACTCCTACATTATCTTGATTCGTTTTGGAAAATAGTCATTTTGTTAAACCATATCCATTTTTCGGTTTTAAAGGACCAATTTTTGTATGCCAATACGGAAGGGAATACACAAGAAAACCGACATTCCGAAGGGGGTGAGTCAACCTAAGGAATCTAATATTTTAAAAACTCACCTGTAGGGTGTTTTTTTCGTTTCCATTCACTTTCGTATTGTTATACAGACAGAAATAGGTCCTAACATTTAATAGAAATTGCCAAGAAACCTTTAATTAAATTTTTCCTAAAAGTGCATATCGAAATAATCAGAAACCATATTTGTTTTTTTTTTTTTGCTCATTTCCCGTTTTGGATTTTCACGCGGACTTTGCTGAATTTTTTTATTTTTTCGAATAAAGCTAGATTTAAAAAATGCTATAGTATCCGAAAATCGGGTAGGGATTTTCCTGTCTAGAAAAAGGTCAATAGAAATTGCCTGAATAAGTCGTTCAGTAAGCCGCCATTTGCTTCACACTAAAGATGATGAATATTGTTGGACCATTAGGCCTGTAAAATTTAAAAAAAAATAATCAGATTTATTGGTCTCTTGTTCCATGAAAATTTCTTCATTTTACAATTTCTTTGAAATTTTCCGATTATCGATGAAATAGATCTTTTTAAAAAATCTGCTTTATGAATAAGTCTAGAAGACGATGTTCAGCAAAAAATTGTCAAAACTCGATGACCATAAAAATTTCACAGGGTCATTTCTCCTGGGTTAAATGGGTCGCCCAGTTAGCTACCTAGGCCAAACCATATTTTTCAAAAAAACCCTATAGTTCCACCAAATTTAAACCTGTTCAGGGATGTGATGAAAAACATTTTGACCCGATTTTTGGTATTAACCGATTTACTCTACATCTCAAATTCGTCAATCCTTTGACCAAAAATATATACGACTCCAAATGGAATCTAGTTTAATTTTGTGTCTTTAACTAAAGTGATGGTCTAGAGTATTCCTTGTGAAAATTCCAATTATTTTATAAAAAGTAATTTTCGTTGAGATCTCGATGGGTGGTTTAACGTTTTTCCCTTAGCCCTAATACATGCCAAAAATGTAAATTCATTGAGCTCTATATTCTTTTAGATTTCTCTTTCTCAGCATAAAATTCTGCTATATTTCATATCCCAAATTTTCCAAATCTCCTTTTTCTTTCTACACTCTGAAAACTTCCCTCTTTATGATATTTATGTCCTTTCTGATGTATACATTGCCCTTATGATGTTCTTTTGATTTTTTTTAAATATATAGACACAGAGTTGTATTTGTAAATGTTTACAATTTGTTAATTATCAATGTGCTATAACAAAAATATTACAAGAATTGCTTTAAATACTTTATATATGTCAAATGCTGTAGAAAATCTGTTTGAAATTTTGTTGAAAAGCCTCTAACATATAGCTTTAATTTCAATGTCACAAATCTGTAAGGAAAGAGAAAACTTAGATCCCTTTCTGTCAAGACTCTTCTTTGTGCATAGAAAAGCCGGAAAGAAAAATGAGTTTTTCTTTGGGGAGTAGCTACTTTCCCACAAAAACAGACTTCTTATGTCATACTCTGTACATGTGAATAGACAATTAGGGACACGTTTACATATCATGCTAAAGTGATATGGAAACTGATTAATAGTCTACCATAGAATTTAGGAAACTTCTTCTTGTACTATAAAAAAATTCTGGAAAAAATTGTATGTTCCAGATGATATTAAATTATTCTATGTCAGATTTGATTTTTAGGAGTAACGTATACTCCTTCCAATAGC